AAAAATCACTTTCCCTGCAAGTCCAGGTTAAGAGGCAGCTCAGAATAGGAGGGTCCGGGTAGGAGAAAAAGCAACGGCTTGACAAATAATTATCAGGAAAGTCAGAAAAGAAATATGGGCAAGATCAGGTAACTGGATCAAACACAAGAACAAACGTGGCTTTTGATGTTAGAAGGTCCCCAATCTTTTGCTCTGAGTCAACTGCAATATTTACACAATGGAAAAAGTTATAATCTGCTAAAACCGCAGTTATTATATAAACCCAAAATGGTCAAATTCAGACAGCATGCTCTATCAAAGCCCCCCGTCCCCCCAATATTATACTCTAGAAAGAAATGATCAAGATCTTCAACGAGGAAACTTCAATCTAGTTTCCTAACCAAGGGCTTTCCGGAGATAACGAGTGGAAGAGGCAGGGGTTGTCTGAGGCTAAATCTTTCTAGAAATTTGGGATTGGGGTTGGGGTTTAAGGGTGAAAATGAGAGCAATTCTTCTCCCATTCCCATTCTTATTTTTCTCAAAGAAAAAAAATGAAGAGGGGAATATGCTCCAGGAGGTTTATCATTTTGGCTGAACTTCAGAGATGTGATTTTTCAGTCTTATGAGTTATTGGTATCCCATGAGATGTATACCCCTAATTTAGTTATCTGAACCTAGCTGCTTAGGAACCCTTTTCAATCTCAAACTCACCCTCAATCAAGTAGCTCATTGGGTGAAGTTACCCACCAACTTTAGCCCATCCAGAGTCATGTAGGTGAGAAGGGCTGTTGTATAAAATGAATGAATGAAATATTTTCCACATGTGTGGTAATACAGGTAGTCTATGACTTACAAACATTTGCTTAGTGACTATTCAAAGTTGCAACAGCACTGAAAAAAGTGACTTATGACCGTTTTTCACACTTACGACTGTTGCAGCATCCCCTGGTCATGTGATCAAAATTTGGATGCTTGGGAACTGGTCCTGGGTCAACTTTTGCAACCTTCTGACAAGTAAAGTCAATGGGGAAGTCGGATTCACTTAAGAACCCTGTTAACTGAAGTGATTCACTTAACAACTGTGGCAAGAAAAGTCATAAAATGGGGAACAACCCCATTAACAACTGTTTCACTTAGCAACAGAACTTTTGGACTCAGTTATGAACATAAAACCAAGGACTACCTATAATATAACACTTGATAAATATGTTTGCTGCCCTCCCCCCAAGCTCCTTAGGGGAAGAATGGGTCAAGGACTACTTTAAATTGGTAGGTAAATAAATAAACCTTGTTGCAATATGTAAGGGGCTAAATAACTATCCTTCCCAGTCACAGTTTTCCTCCGCTGAAACCAACAACTATACCAAAGTTCAAGCATTCAAAATGTTAACCAAAAAACTTTTTACTCACCTTTGTATCTATTATATAGTTGCTCTAATTTCTTTCGATCCAGTGATCCCTTAATGTTTTCTCGTATATACAGTTCAGGATTTTGAAAAAAATTATCTGTTGCAACATCTAACTTCCAGTCATTCTGGGACAGACAATTCACTGCTGTTTTTTCACTCGATTGCGTGAAGATCATAAACTGCCGAACTTTATCTTTTTGCGATGACTTCAACTTGTTCTAAAAAAAAAGTTTGAAAAGAAGAGCAGTAAAACTTCACATCTGTTTTGCTCTGAGAGGCAGCGTCTCAAAGGAAAACTCCAGAGATGATAAATACCAGTTGTGGAAGAAGTAAGGCAGACGTTCTGATTAGGATTATTGATTTCTTAATTTTGCACAGATAAGTTAAAAAGTTACTTGCAAAGCCACGCTGTTCACCACTGCTCCAGGCATCTCGCAAGTCAAATAAGCTTACTACACGGTGGAATTAACCCAGTGAAATACTCTGAGCCATTTCTCATCCCTAAGTATATTAGCAATAACGTGATTTATGGGCTCATCCAGATTATTCAAGATAGAAGCAGCATCCATTACAATATCTGCCAAAGACTCCAGAAAACGGAGGGCTTTAAAAAGGACGATAACAGACTCTTAAGGTTATTTACCAGGAGTGTCTGCAGAATATGGTCAAAAAAGTCAAGATGGCAGCTGCAATAGTGTGACTGAAGTGCCACTTGATTTGTTTTTTAAAGCATACCCATGGATGCGCCTGACACTCACATATCCAAAGTAATCCATTAGCATATGGAAGCTAATTGATTTGGGAACATGATAGAACAGCTTAACGAGAAAGCTAATATACCACTCCTGATTTCCCTCTAAATTATTCCTATATGAAATCCAGCAAGACATCAACTGAACTCAGGAGAGCAAGGAAAAAAAGTTTTGACTGACGGTTAAATATGGAAGAATAAAAAAAAGTAGCAGTATCAAAATTCAGCACCATCCACAGTGATACATACCTATGTAGTCCTCGACTTATGATCGTAATTTGAGTCTGCAATTTTGGTCATAAGTTGCAGTGGTCATTAAGCGAACGCAGCATTGTATAAAGCAAACACCGCAGTTGTTGGGTGAACCCACTATTCGCTATGGGGTATTTTTTTGCCAGTTTCTGGCACAAACAGCATAAATTGTGTTTGAACTTTGAAATTTGGGTTGCAAGTTTCTTTTTCGGGGTCTGTCATAACTTCAAGCGGTCACTGAGCAACCAACCATAAATCGGGGACTACCTGTATGACTTTTAAGATTACACTTTAACTGAAGTCGTATTGTTCTACCTTTGCAGTGAAGCTGTAAACACAATTCTCCGGACAATGTGACCATGGAAAGACATCATAGTAACAACTGTTAATTGTATACCCTGACTGGAAATTTATAGTATAGTGTAGTATAGTGTAGTGTAGTGTAGTGTAGTGTAGTGTATAGTGTAGTGTATAGTATAGTATAGTGTATAGTATAGTATATAGTATAGTATATAGTATAGTATAGTATATAGTATAGTATAGTATATAGTATAGTATATAGTATAGTATATAGTATAGTATAGTATATAGTATAGTATAGTATATAGTATAGTATAGTATAGTATAGTATATAGTATAGTATATAGTATAGTATATAGTATAGTATATAGTATAGTATAGTATAGTATAGTATAGTATAGTATAGTAGAGTAGAGTAGAGTAGAGTAGAGTAGAGTAGAGTAGAGTAGAGTAGAGTGTAGGAGTAGGAGTAGGAGAATAGAATAGAATAGAATAGAATAGAATAGAATAGAATAGAATAGAATAGAATAGAGCTGGAAGGGACATTGGAGGTCTTCTAGTCCAGCCCCCCCGCTCAATATCATCAACTAAGTCATTCAATATGATCATCTGGTGGGTAAACTTTCCTATAAAAAGCATACGTATGACAAAGCAAGCATTTAGCTATATTCATCTATGGTAACCCATTTTTCCCTGGTTTAAGAAGCCAAGTGTAGAAATCTATGCCCTTTAAAAAATATTCCTCACAGTTCTTAATATACACTAGAGATAGGAGACCGTTTGAGGTGTCACATTTATTTAGTAAAAGTTTTTTTCTTTTCATTTTTCCTATTCATAAGTAATGATCAGAGGTCTACATTTTATTATTGGTTTATCTCTTACCCACCTATTTAAATCTTCAAGTCAACTAACAAGACACAACTGCTATGGCCATGTAATATGCTACTCCAAACAAATACAAATGAATCATTTTATGGCACCCACATTTGAGGTTCAGGGGTGAAAGCCCATATGCCCAAATTTCTTTCTTTACACCGCATTGTCAGTTTAATGTAATTTTTCTCTTTCCCTTGAGTCATTTTGCTATCTTAGTTTTGATTTAGCAGTTAACTTTTTTATATTGTTTCTGTTGAATTTGTATATGCTACATCTGACTCTTCAATGACTATAAATAAAACTACAACTATTAAATATTATGGCATATCATGACAGCCTGGTACACACAACATGCCAACGACACAAATACCCCTTCCCAGTTTAGCCTTGTACAAAACCAGTTATTGTCTATCAATGAAACAAAGAATATTAGCAAGCAATAGATGTAAACTTTTTACTTTCCCAGAACAGTACTTGAAACAGCAGTTACATCTACGTATATCTACCTCTATCTCTTAGCTAGCTCTACCTTTGGCCAGCTAGCATGAGTTGATGGCCCAAAGTGACGGCAACAGAGAACAGGATGACAGAAAAATGTGCCTGAGAAAGTAGAGCTGTTTCTTTTACCCCTGCTCTGGGAATATAAAGCAAAAGATTTGTCTGAAAATTACAATAATAATAAAGTTGGAAGGGACCTTGCGGGTCATCTAGTCCAACGCCCTGCTCAGGCAGAAAACCCTATACCATTTCAGACAAATGGCTGTCCAGTCTCTTCTTAAAAACTTCCAGTGTTGGAGCATTCACAGCTTCTGGAGGCAGGTTGTTCCACTGGTTAATTGTTCTGTCAGGAAGTTTCTCCTTAGTTCTAGGTTGCTTCTCTCTTTGGTTAGTTTCCATCCGTTGCTTCTTGTCCCGCCTTCAGGTACTTTGGAGAATAGCTAGGCTCCCTCTTCTTTGGGGCAGCCCCTGAGATATTGGAACACTGCTGTGGAAGTACTATATGGTTATCGTAGAATGTCATCTTACATTATTTTGGATAATAATGTGCCCAATTTTGCAACCAACATTTAACTTTTTATAAGGGAATCAATCCAATTTAGCCTATTTTTAATAAGATATTCCTTTTATATAAATTCACATTTTTAAAATAGGCAAAGTTAAGGGTTTCCCGTCCAGTCTCTTCTGACTCGTGTGTGTGTGTGTGTGTGTGAGTGCTCATCTCCGTTTCTTAGCTGAGGGAGCCAGCGTTGTCCAAAGACATTTCCATGGTCATGTGTCCACGACTATACTGCGAGGCACACGGAATGCTGTTACTGTCCCACCAAAATGGTATCTGTTCATCTTCTCACATTTGCGTGCTTTCAAACTGGTAAGTGGGCAGCAGCTGAGGCGAGTAACAGGAGCTCCCTCTGTCCAGCAGCGCTCAGATCTCAAACCTTGTCGAATTTCCAGCCAACAAGCCCAGCATCTTAACCACTGAGCCATCGCACCCCTATTTTTTAAAAAATAGGTTCATTTAAATGATTTGTATAACCATCCACCACACAACAGTGATTTGGGGAGAAGGGTACAAGGACTAAAAACAAAAACAAAAACACACAAACAATGGAACCCAAGGTTAAATCAGCAGGAGCCAAATAATAAAAAAAAAAATACATCACCAGTAGAGTTTGCCTGGCTCCTGGTCCAAATGCCAGCCAGGTCTTCCAAGTTTTACAAAAGACTAACAGGCTTGGGGCCATCAGGATTAGGGCTGTGGGTGTCATTGTTTGATGGAAGGGATCCACAGCATGTCTTCCCTACTAGACCTGGTGGGGTGGGCACAAAAAATGGGGGACAGGAGCCCCTTATAACTATAGGAGTAAAAATGTGAACCATAAATTTAATCCAGATGACACATCAGTACAGTTTTCTTGGTAGTATTAAAGAAATTAGTTGTTATTCTAAATTGTACTCCTCTTCCAGTACTAACTCCTCTTACTTTCTGAGTTCAACTAAGGTTAACCAGATGCTGGCTACAGTTCAAATACAGTTTGCCAGAGATAGAGAAACAGCCTATCACATCTCTTCCTAGGAAGCTAAATGCAGAGATATTAAATTAGTCTAAGGAGAAACATCCTGGGTGTGTACACTGAAAGTAAAGTTAACTGCCCCTAAACACAACTGTAAGTACTAAAAGAGCCCTGGTAAAACTTACTATATTTCCTGAAGAATTTTACATGCTGTTTTGGGCAGCACATCACTGAGGTAACAAGTATCTATAAAGTGTTATATGTATGTATATATGTCTGTGCGTGTGTGTGTGTGTATACACACACATATACATATATATACAAAACACTTTATAGATACAATATACATATATGTATATTGTATCTATAAAGTGTTTTGTATATATATGTATATGTGTATTGTATATGGATATGTATATATGTATTTATATATACATATATTCAGGAAAAGGTTGCCAAATAATATAAACTCATTTACAATATTAATCTGCTCTAAATTATAAAGCAATTTTCAGACTATACGCTTCAATACAAATCATTTGAAGAATGCACTATAAAAGGAAATATGAAGATTTTAACCTAGAAATACAGATGTTTAAATTTCCAAAGAACGTTTAAGAATTCCTAATAGCAAAAATAAAAAATTGGGAACTAAAGTGTCTTTCCTCATGAAACCTAGCCATTTAGGAAAATAGGTGAAAACCTCAATGTATTTCAAAATATGAGATGCTGGATTCTTAAATTGTTAACTTAAGCATATGGATGCTATGAGCCGAAAGCCAACATTTGAATAAGGCCCATGTTCTCATCCCTGCCTCAAATACTGACCAACTAAATACAATACTAAGATTTTGTGGAACATAGACATTTCCATCAAATTAATTAAAAATATTCCTCTGTTTTCCAGGGTTATGACACCGTATCAACAGGTCAACACACTATTCAGGTAAACAAGACCTACATAGCATAATGCATTCCAACAGTAATTAATGATGATGTCACTGCCTTTTAAAGATGTGTA